ACATGGGAATACCACAACATTTTATGTGTTGTTGTTGTTTTTTTTTAAGACAGGGTGTCACCATGTAGTGCAGGCTGGCCTTGAACTCACGGCAGTCCTCCTTCAGCCTCCTGAGTGCTGAGATTACAGGCATGCAGTGCCATGCCCAGCTTTAAAACATTTTATGGACTGTTAGATACATGACACAACTTAGCAATGAAAGCCAAAGCACTCCCCCCAGTAACCCCTTGTGAGCCAATGGGCTGGATTGGGGGAATATAAGGGCAGCAAATCAGTAGACTTCTAGCCCAGATCTGGTTCACAGCAGATTCACTGGGACTATGGACTCATTAGACAATTGCTTTCCTGGTCCTCAAGTACATGACTGGAATCGCCATATCTGGCAGTGAGCACAGCCCCACGTTGGTTCTTGGGCCTCTATAATAAGAAGTATCATGCTGGGGGAATACAATGGAAACCTCTGGCACTGTACCCACCCTGGTGAAGATCACAAATCACAAAGAATATCACATCTTGGGAGAAATGTCAGAAATTACTGCTGTCCTCAAACATTCGAAGGATGCAGGGGATGTTTTCACTTCATTCATCAGTGTTGGCAGCTACAAAACCTAAACAAAACCTGGATCATGACAATGGACTACCACAAACTCAACTAAATAGTAGCCCCATTTGCAGAGATCTTTGCTACAGCAGATTAACAAAGTTTCAAGTATATGGTACATGGCTGCTGGTCCAAAACATGCACTATTTTCCTCTGCTATCAAAAGGTCAGAAAGATTACACTCAATTTGAATATGCAATGCTATATATTTAGTTTTGACCTAGAGATACTGTGTCTTCCACCTTCTGTCACGATGTAGTAGTTTAAAGAATCCTGTCTGGAGCCCGCTGCAGACAGGCAGGTCTGTGCACGCCCTACCGAGGTCCTGAGTCACGCGGAAGACACCGAATCACCCCACTGCAGACAGGCAGGTCTGCTCACACCCTGCTGAGGTCCCCAGTCGCGCGTAACACACGCCTAATCAGCCCGCTGCAGACAGGCAGCCACCTGATTCCACATTACCAAGGCGCAGAGGACACCAGACCACCAGACCAAGGTACTGAGTCCCACTGTTCCCGGCCCAGAGGTAGGGACTTCTGAGCCGTCGTCTCACTGCTCCTGGTCCAGAGGAAGGGGCTTCCCGGTCACCATCCCTCCTGCTGCTCCCAGCCCAGAGGAAAAGGCTTTTGGGCCACCTTCTGTCCTGCTGCTCCTGGCCCAGAGGAAGGGGCTTCCGGGCCACCATCCCTCCCACCGCTCCCGGCCCAGAGGGAGGGGCTTCTGAGCCACCATCCCACTGCTCCTGGTCCAGAGGAAGGGGTTTCCCGGCCACCATCCCTCCGGCTGCTCCCAGCCCACAGGAAAGGGCTTTTGGGTCACCATCCCTACCACTGCTCCCGGCCCCTGTCCCACCTCACCCAGCTCAGAGGAGGTAATCCGTGCAGGCGCTAACAGCCCCCCCGCCCCAGTCGAAATAAGAAAACACATAAATAAGTCTCAAGAATCCTATCTGGCCACACACCCCACGGAACATGGAAGCATCACAAGGATCTACAAAATCAGTGACATCCTGCTATCAGTGAGCAGATGAGCACCAAGGAGCTGGTACAGTGGTACCTTGGTTCATGAATGCTTTCCTTTGCAAACAATTTGGTTTACAAACAGAACCATTTGACAAAATTTTGTTGTTTGAAAACTCTGCATTGGGTGACAACACCACAGACATCTTTCCCACACAAACACAAATGTGACCATCTTTTTCAAAATCATAGAACAAATTAAATTCATGAACTGAGGTACCGCTGTACTTGGGAGGCCATGGTAGGTCATTTGTACTGCTGAGGATGGAAGATACATCCTAGGAAGACACAGGAATGCTCTACATCAGAAAATGTGAAGGACCCATTGGCCTGGGACTACTGTGACTTCCTCTACAAAGTAAAGATCAAAATGTTCCCTTTTGAGCTTCCATAGAGATAACCTATCCCATATCTTTAGATCCTGGCCCAACCTATGTAATGGGGAATACAAAAGGCTGACAGCTCTGGCAGTTCAAAGCAGGAAGGAACTCTGTAGCAGGTCCTGGCTGATGTCCAAACAGCTGTCCATTGGGACTACTGCCCCCAGCACCCACCGTGGTATTAGACACTTTGGACTTGCCCCAAAGCTTGAACACTGTATGTTAATACACACCAGAGAGGAGCCACTAAAGAAGGGGCAACAAACAGCATGGTAGAGAAAATTACTCAGCCACCCTGTCATTGACACCCCATTCGGTTGCTTTTGGAGGTGCTGTTGTAGCATTACAGGGCCTCTGCATGGGCCCAGCAGCCTGCCCTCCCACCCACCAAGGCTGCTCAGTGCCACTGCCATATCATACTTGACCTGCCAATAAGAAAGTCCAGTACTGAGTTCCTGATGCCATGCCTTGAGGAGATCAACCAGACACTTAGCAATAAGATACATTAGACCAGTCACAGTCTGTGGGGAACAGATTCATTTTGGCAGAATACAGATTCCAGACATGGATTTGCCTTTTCTAGACATATAGCCTCAGCCAGCACAATCGTATGACCACTCTGCAGCAAAGAAAGTGATATTTTACCATGGAACCCATACAGCACAGCACAAACCACCCTACTCTAATACTGCCCACCTCACAAAGCACCTGACCCACTAGTAGAATGGCTGTCAGAACCCAAATGAAGGTCTGGCTCAGAAGTAACATCATGTGACACTTTACTTTGCAAATAGTGTAGCCAGTTTTGCTAAAATGACAGCAGTCTCTTCTTCAGGCCATCATTGAAACTATTCGATTGTGTTTCTGTAGCTCCTGATTGGACTTTGTTGAAAGTAGGTATAGTGGACCAAATCCTTTCAAGATGTCCACACCCTAATTCCCAGAACCCAAGAATGTGCTGCTATGTTACACGGAAAAAGGGACTTTGCAGATGGAATTAAGGTCACAGACCTTAAGAATATCATGCTAGATTGTCTAGGTGAGCCCAGAGTGTTCACATAGACCCTAAATCCTGAGGCCGGGCAACCTATATGACGTTTATTTAGGTCACAGTTTTGGAGGATCAAGAGCATGATAACAGCATGGGCTTGATTCTGACAAGGACTTCACAGTAGATGGTAGCGTGTGTGAGAGTGAGAGATCAGATGGTGATACAGGAAGTGGGGAGGGGTCAGGCATGCTGTTTTATAACAACCTTCTCTTGAAAGGACAAACACAGTCCCATGAGAACTACATTCATCTCCTCCACTGCCAGTGGCCCTGATCACTTCCCTCTAAGCTCCACCCCTTAAAGGTTCTTCTAACAATACCACACTGCGGGTCAAGCTTCCGGCACGCAGACCTTGCGGGGGACACACACACCACACCCAAACCATCCTTGCTCTTCAAAGATAAGGTAGATTTTCCTATCTTCTTGCAAGATGTTTGCTCTGTCTGCTTTGCAATGTACATATGATTTTGGTAGGGGCGAGAGTTTTATTGGCACTGTATTTACTCTCTGTGGTGTGCTCTTCCTGGAGCTGTGGTTTGGTGCCCAGCAATAGTTTGGGGAAAGTCTCATATTTCCTCTCTCTCTCTCCTAATAGTCCATATATATCTCCCAATATCCCACAGTTCTTGGATAGAGTACTTTTCCATATTTTTCATTCTTTTTCTTTGCGTTTCAGTTATAGATTTCTGTTGACATTTCTTCAAGCTCACTGATTTTACTCCTTAGACTTGTCCAGTCTCCTGAGGAGCTCATCAAAACTACAGTCTGCCCCAAAAAAGTACACACACTTCAGGAAAAGAAAAATAGTATGATGTTTTTTACAACAGATGGTGTTATCCTCCTATGGGGGTCCCTAGAGGATGTCGTACATCAGAGAAGAAATTGAAAATGCATGTGCTGTAGTCTCAACAACCAAGGTTCCCCCAGCAGCAGTTCACCCTACTAATAACTGTCTGGAAGCTAATGGTCACCACTTTGAGCACCTCTTGTAATTGTAGATGCCAAAGGTAACTTGTATTAATCTCATGTTATCCCAATAAATTTAGTATTAAAATATTTATACAGGTTTTTCTTTTCTTGAAGTGTGTGTACATTATTTTGGCAGACTCTACATTTTCCCTTTGTGTTAAGGTTATTTTTTATTTCTAGCATTTCCTTTTGATGCCTTCTTATAGCTTTCATCTCTATATTTATATTCCTCCCTCTGTTCTTGCATGTTGTATACTTTTTCCATTACAGTCCTTTGCATATGAATCATAGTTGCTTTAAATTCCCAGGCTGATAATTCCAATAGCTTTGCCATGTCTGATTCTGGTTCTGAGTCTCTAAAAACTATATTTTCTGCCATAATGTTTTTGTTCCATTCTAGACACAAGGTGCTGGGAAGAAAGAACACAGAAGCCTCGTCTTTAGGGCGAGGTCTTTCTGTCTGGTGCAGGTTTGGCCGGGTTTGCTGTTTACTGTAGCTGTAGGTACTGGAGGCTAAACTTTCCTCTGGTGTCTGTTTTTGCAGACCTGTTGCCTTTGGTTCCCCAGCACTTCCTGAAATACTGTTCTGAGAGGCACAGTTCCCTCAATTGCATTCCCTGGTATTCCACAGGTGCCCTATTGATGTGGTAAGATACGGAGAGGGAGGGAGGGGAAGCGACTGTAATCCTGTGATTCGGTCTCAGTCTTTTAATAAACCTGTGCTCCTGAGCCGTGACCACACAAATGCTTCTCAGTTTAGTTTTCTTTTGTTTTTTTCTCTCCTGTACATGAGACAGGATGGCTACAGAGCATTGGTGTTGGGCATTTCCAGTCCCCCCAGATTGGTTAGGCTCTGGTAAGTAGTTTTTCCTGGGGGGCCTTGTTAAGAAAAGAGCATCCTGGCTGTGTTTACTAAGACCACACTTCCTCTTCTCCTGTCAGAAGTGCCAGGGATTTTTCTCTTATCTTCATTGTGAGAACCTGCTACCACTTAGGAGCTAACAGGCAGTAAACCAGGCACGGGATTGGGGGGCAGCTGTCTGTCCAGGAACTCAGCAGTTACGCTTCCTGTTCTCCTGCCAGGCTGGGTCCTCTGGAGGTCTTTCTCTGGTAAATTGTGATTCTCTGTGTCTGCCTTTCTGTCTTTCCAATTTGGGGGGCAGCAGCTTGTCTTGTGACCTCAGTTCTCTGGTGGATCTATGAAAAGTTGTTGATTTTTAGTTTGTTTAGCTTTTTTTCTTATTGTGTGGACAGGAAAGACAATATCCAAGCTCTCTATGCCAATCAGGAAACCGGAAGCTTAAAACTAAAGTTCTCCTACTGTTTAAATTATAGGGGAAGCAGCATGTCTGTGATGGGAGCATAGGCTCTGCTGCCCTAGGTGTTAGGAACTTCTCCCATCCCTCCTGACTGCTTAACCGAAAGGAGCTATGGGCCCCACCACACACCAGCTGAAGGAATCCACACCAAAGCACGATCCCAGGCACAGGACCTGTGTGCACATTATAACTGAAAAGCTCCAGCCTCCGTTACTTCTAACCTTTTGTTACAGGACTTTGGGTCCCAAAGAAATTCTTTCGAGGTTCTGGGTGTCCTGAACAAAGAATTGGACAAGACATGCAGAAAAGGTAGGGAGGACTACGTTTATTGAAGTGGAAAAGAAGTGCGCATGTGCTAGAGTGAGGGCGGGCTGGTGAGGATAATGGCCTGACTCTTTTGTATCTGGAATTCCTGGATTGCTTCTCCCTCACGAAAATAAGACATTTGGGATGTTTGTCCTATCAAAACCTCACTTGGCCTGGCATCAGATTGATTGATTGATTGATTGATTGATTGATTGATTAAATGATGGTTTTTTGAGACAGGGTCTCGCTGTGCAGTTCAGGCCGGCCCTGAACTCAAGGTGCTTCTTCTCCCTCAGCCTCCCAAGTGCTGGGATTATAGGTGTGCATCACCATGCCTGGCTGGCACCAGATTTAAACTGTCCTATGGAAGACGTGCTTGGTTTTGTGCCAGGTGCAAATGAAGAGTTGAAGATAGCATTTTCCCTTTGGTTCCATGTACAATGCTCAGGAACTGCAGGCACCCTGGGTCCTGTGCTCAGCCCATGTGCCCTGGTCTCTCTGACTGACAGACTGTTTACAGTCGTGTAACCTGTGTGCCCAGCCCTAATCTCCTTCCTCACGTTTGAGCACTTCCTGTGCACGCTGTCCCGTCACGTTGTTGGTTGGAGCTCTCAGAAGCTGTTCTGGTTGGAGGACTGCCCAACCTGGGGATCACTGGTGTACTTTTGCTCAGATAAATGCTACTGAATTTAAACTTGTTTTATGGTTTTGTGGGGCTGGAGATCAAACCTATGGTCTCCTTTAAAAATTCTCACTTCCAAAACTGCGTTCTGAGCAACCAGGGTACCATGCAAGAGACAACACCCAAGCTTTCTCTGGCAATCAGGGTACTCTGGGACATCTTCAGTTTTCAAGGGAAACAAAACAACATCTGCCTTGCACTGTATAAATTGCTGCATTTCTTCCCTTTTTTTTCTTTTTGAGACAGGTTCTCACTGTGTAGTTCAGACTGGCCTCGAACTTGCAACGATCCTCCTGCCTCAGCCTCCCTCCTGAGTGCTGGGATTTCAGGTGTATGCCACCACACCTGGCTGTTACATTCCTCTTGATGATGCCATATGTATAGGAAGGTGGGATTTCAGCTGAGATAAAAATGAAAGTCATTGTGGAATAAGAAAATACAGTGGACCCTTGACTTACAAACTCGATCGTGTCCCAAGGGCTGGTTGGTTTAAGTCAATACAGCTGAGATCTGGATGTTTACCTGGGTACCCGCTATAGATAACAAGAGGTGGATGAATCTTCCGTTAACCTAATTAATCCAAGTTGTTCACATGGCAGCCCAGTTGTAACTTGAGGGTCCACTGTAGCAGTAACCTTAGCACTCAGGCTGAAGCAGAAGGATCAGGAGTTTGAGGTCAGCCTGAAATAGAGACCTTAGGGGGAAGGGAGTAGGGAGAGAGACACTGTATCTTATTAACTTCCAAATTGAGAGGCTGACTCGTTAGGGTAAGGGTGTGTATTAAATTGTTTGAACCTGGCTACATAGCAAATAACTGATCCCATTACTTTGGGCCCAGGCGCATTGATACAGTAAAAGCACCACCAGCTGAGAATGTTTAAGAACCTCTGGCTTCACTTGGTTCACTACTTCTCTCTAACTTGATTTTTGTGTGGATTTGCTAGTTCATTTGCTTTTGCCATTATTCAGCCTACTTTTCCCGTTGCTCGTCATCTTGTTCTTTGAAGACATGTACAAAGCTGCCTCGTCCTGATCCCTGATCCCTGATCCCTGCAGAAAAGGCAGGCTAAGCACCGTAATCAGTTTCCTCACCACACCGTGCATACGTGAGCATCGCGCTGTCCTGTTCCCACACCACTTTACAAACACGCTTGCTTTTTCACAACCTAAGAAGGAAAGCCAAGAAAGGTATTATTAAATCCATTTTATAGAATAAGACTGAAACCCTGAGATTCGGAGAGCTTGTATAATTGTATACGAGTACAATGTGGAGTCTTTTGCTATTGCAGCCCCAGCAGCCTTTATCTCCTCGTTAAATAGTATTTTGTGTGAGGTGGTGGATTTGGACCGCACAACTGCGCTCAGCCAAACGGACAAAACAGTTAAATCCTAGTAGCTAAGTTTTGGCTGGTTGCAGAAAGTGCTGTAGCCAGTAAATTAAGCTGTAAACAACTAACTAGCTAAGCTATAACTATGACTGGTTAATTAACAAGTTGTCTTCCACGTCTCCTTTATGTACTGCCCCATCACGTTGTTGGAGGGCTGCCCAACTTGGGGATCACTGTTGTACTTCTGCTCAGATAAATGCTACTGAGTTTACACTTGTTTTACTGTTTTGTGGGTCTTGAGATCGGACCTGTGGCCTGGTGCATGCTAAGGATGTGCTGTATACTGAGCTATGCCCTCAGCCCCAAGATTTTTCATTTAACATCCTTAATGTCTAGGGCAGTGATGGCAAACCTTTTAGAGATCAAGCGTCCACAATGCAAACCCAAACCCACTTCTTTATCACAAAGTCCCAACATTGCAATTAAACCTGAATGCTAAGCTTAGGAAAAAAAACCTGTTATCTGATGCTCGGCTGCTGGGGTGACCTGGCACCTGTGCTGATGGAGAGGGCTCTGCATGCCCATTTTCGCACGCTTGCCATAGATTCCCCACCACTGGTCTGGGGAGGATGGAAGATACTGTGGAGCTGGATGGGTGGGAAGTTTCCCTCTAACCTCTGCAGTGGGCTGGAGCGCGGACTTCTGGCTGGAGTAACTACAGAAGTCAGCTAATAGCTGACCTGAGGGTCACATGGCAATGCCACAAGAGGACTGGGCCCAGTAAAGTCTCCAGCTTGCCAAGAAGCTGCACAGGACCTCGGGCCGCAGCGGGCACCGGCTCTGCCTCCTGGGATGATTCCCTTTGGCATGAAGCAGCCATGGAGCTGGCACAACTTCTCTTTAGATGATCTCGACCTCCTCAGGGAATGGGGAGAAGGGGAACAAGCTAAGAAAAGAGCCTGTGAGACCGTGCAGGGACTTGCCCTCCCTGATGAACCTGCTTGTCGGCTGCTGTGGGACAGGCTTTACAGAACAGGCTTCAGTCCCCTCGCTGCCAGCATGGTGTTGATGGCAGTGGGAAGGAACAGTTGTTCTCTGATTGCTAGGTGCACGCACAGAGGGAAGCTTCGCGACCATCCAGCGCCTCCCCTCTCTGTAGAGGAAAAATGGAGGCGAAAGAAATTTTTTTTTTTTCCTGAAGAGATTGGGTTCCCATCCCAAGGTGGCTGTGTCAGGGAACGAGGCTTTCAGAAGTGAAAAAAGGAGACTTTCTATTCTGCTTCATTTGTTTCCATTTCAGCTGATTTAATAACCCTTGCACACACACACAGAGGCGATTGTGGAGAGTCCGAGTAGATCATCGGTGTGGCAGGGACACTTACCACTGGGGCAGGCTGAGGCCTCCACAGAGAGCATTAGGGACGAGGAGAGCTGCCTCGGAGCTGAACCCACCACTGCCTCTGGATCCTTCACTTGGTTCTTGTCCAGAGCAGAGGTAACCAGAAACGATGGCCATCTGTCCACTGTTTCCTGGCTCCAGCTGGGCTGAGCAGGCCTGGCACGTGCCCCCTACCGCCCCCCCGTCTCAGTCTGTGGGACGGAATGTCCTGCTTGGTTCCTTTTCCTGCTTCTTGGCTTTAATCCCTGCTTATGGAGGCTGCCCACAGAGTCACTGTTTAAATAATAACAAAATCTAGCATTCATTGAGAAATCTGTCAAAGCAGGCACTGTGTGTGCTATGTACTTTTACACAGAACAGCTCACACAGTCCTATCCAGTGCCCCCACATCCATTGCTGGGGCTGCCACACTGGAGAAGCACAACCTGGGTGGCTTGAACAACAGAAAGTTACTGTGCTTCGGTTCTGGAGACTGGGAAGTCTGAGATCCAGGTGTGGGCAGGGCTGTGCTCCCTCAAAGCGCACTAGCGAAAGATGTCTCATGTCTCTTAACTTCTGGTCATTCCCTGGCCTGCAGGAGCATAGCTTTAGTCTTCATGTGACCTTCTCTTCTCCCTGTGTCACATCTGTCTCCAGATTCTCCCTCACAAGGACACTAGTCATTGGCTGGGGGGCCCACACTATCCTAGCATCATCTGCCTCAACTACTTACAACCACAATGACCCAATAAGGGAACATTTTGAGGAACTAGGAGTTAGGACTTCGACATATGAATTGTAGGGAAGGAGACACAGTTCAACAAATAACACCCCTGCCCAACTAATAAATGAAACAGAAGCCCAAAGATGTTTGATTGCCTGCCTAATAACACAGCTAGTGAGGGACTAGGCTGGGACTTGAACTCAGGGCTGTGTGATTCCAGAGAGACATTCCTGGTTTTCAGACTTTGGTGAGCACTGAGCTCACCTGCAGGACTTGTTAACATGGGCTGCAGGGTCCCCCTCCCAGAGTCTCAGGGACAGTGGTCTTAGATGGGGCCACAGCATTTGCATTTCTAACAAGTTCCAGAGGATGCTGCTGTTGGTCCAAGACTGCACTTTGAAAACTACTTCCCTGGCAGTGCTCAGATTTTAGTGTACACAAAATTTACCTGACAACTTGTTTTGTTTGTGTTTAAGCACATCCTGTAGCCCATTCCAGGAGGTCTTGATTTGGTAAATCTGAAAGGGACCCAGGACTCTGTATTGTAAACTTGCAAACACTGTGATCCTGAGCTAGATGCCCAGTGGCCATGCTTGGAGGAAGAACATGGTTTCTTCTTCCTCACAGACCCCCCAAGGTCCTCAGGGCTAACTGTACATGGGGATCCCCTGAGAAATTTTCAGGAATACTGAACCCATGCCTGGGATTCATCCTTAAAGAGATTCTGGCTCAGGTGTGTGCTTGGGGTGAAGGGTCAGGGTTCTCTTGGCCACTCTTTTAAGAATTTCTTCCAAGTGACTAATATGTAATCAAAGGTAAAACCACTGTCAGAGCCTCAAGCCTGGCAAAAAGCTGCTGGAGGCCAGTAACTATGTTCGAGGGACTGGAGCACAGATAACAGAGCCTGGGGACCCTAAAAGCATGAATTCTCTTCTAGCAATCAGAGAGAGTCTTCCTCATTACTAAGACTTGTTCCAGCCCCCAAGCCTGTATCTTTTTCCAGAGAACTCACCCAAATCAGCACACAGTCTCTCATTCCTGAGTCGTGCATTCACTAGTTCCTTCACAAGAGGCACTGTGGTGCCCTGGTAGTCTGTGAGGGCTCTGGAACCAGGTTCCCTGGTTCGGACCCCAGCTTGAGCAGCTGCTAACATGTGCCAGGCACTGGGGTGCACCAAGGAATAAAATACAAGCTCTTTTATCTCATTGTGCCGACAGTTGCAGGAGCAGAAAGTGAAAACATGTAGACTGAGGGTAATGTTATTTCTCAGAACTCCCCAAATCCCAGAAGCTACTTAGTGATGAAGCCCTGGAGATCAAGGCCCCTCCTCCAGGCTTTAGCCCGCCCGTGGATAGGGTGTGGCCGTGGACAGGGGGAGGGAAGTGTGGCTGCAGAGAATTCCCACGCCCCTTTCATCCTGTTCGGTTAAACTTTCCCAAGAACGTTCCCTCCACCTCTTCCTCTCCTTTCTCTCTCATCTCCTCTCCTTATTTGCCCGCTCCCCAGAAACTCTCTCACTCTTGCAGGTTTTTTAGTTTTTTCTGTAGAGTTCTGTGGGATGTGGGGACGGGTTGCAGGGAAGGTCGAGCTGATTATTGTCTCCTTTTCTGTCGTTCTCTGAAGGAAACCCGAATCCCTCTGCGGGCGCTGGAGGGCGCTGGAGGGCGCTGGTCCTTTGATTTCCGGAAAGACCCACATTCTGTTTGCAGGGGCGCGCTCCATCCCCGTCTGCGTGCCTCCACCCCGAAGTTCTGTGGGGCGTCCTAGGTCACCGCCCGCCGCCCCCACCCTAGGCCCTTGTGGCCGGAAAAGTGAGAGCATCCCAGGCACCGGAAAGCTGGGCCAGAAGGAGAAAGCACGAAACTAAGCTGTAATAATCATAGTTCCCAAACAGACCGAAATGTCAGTGCTAAAATGAAAAATTTGTTCTTCCCGCTGCTTCCTGAACCTCCTGCTGCAGTGAGGAAGGCAGGGAGCCGCTTTGCAAAGCAGGAATCAGACCAAGATCAAACTCTTCCTGGTCGGGTGGACCCACCTAGCGCCAGTGAGCGGGGATTTAAATGTAGCCTGGATCCCACCCTAGAGTTTCAGATTCTGCCTTATGGGCCGGGCCTACAAATTTATATTTTTAGTAAGCACCTCTGGTATCAGTAATGGTGCAGTCTCTAGTTGGAAAAACACTAAGAATATCAGATTAAATCAATCCTTGCAGATTTACCAGGAATCTCGTGTCAAGAAGTGTTTTGCAGGTGTCTACAAGTTATGCTACCTACAAAAGGCAGATATTGGCTATTTTCACCGCTGATACGGCCGCAATGTAAATCTTAACATTACCAAACCCCTGCTCCTCTGTTACACCTTCATTTACATACGGTCTCTTATTTCTTCTTCCCGAAGTTTAATGTGTCGCTCCCTCCATTTCCACCCTGGGAAACTGGGACTTTCAGAAGTTAAGAAACTTGGCTAGAGTTGCTCTTCTTGTAAGTGCCAGAGCACCGATTCCGCCCAAAGACCCTCGAAGCTTTCTCATCCTCCATACAGTTTATATGAATGGGTCAAGGAAGGCTGGGCCTTTGACCTGTTAACCTCAGCCCTGCTGAAGTGACGCAAGTTCACAGACTTCTGATCAGGGTAGGGTGCAGAAAGTGTGCTGGGGATTTATTTAACCATGAATCCCCTGCAAACTCCGCAAGGGTCTTGGGCCAAAATTTGGTCAAGCTTTGGAGATTGTTGTGTAGCAATGAGTCCTCTATTCTTTGTACTTAGGCACCAACGGTGATTTACAGCAACATCCCTAGATTAAGTCACCTGGCATGGATCAGGCCTCACGGACTCCACACGCCCTCTACAGGATACTGTCGGCACAGCAGCTCGAGTGGGCCTTCTCTGTCCATTTCCGTGGCTCAAATTTTCCAGTGGTTCAGGATAAAACCCAGGCCCCAGCTGCGACCCTCAAGGCTCTGGTGGTCATGGCCAGTTCTGCCTCACCGATCTTTTGGTCCGACAAGCTACTCTGTCTCCCACCACCATCCATGTGCCTGATACAGTCCAGGACCCAGAACTATTAATATAGATGTATCTGTGTAAGCAGCTGCTACACAAAAGATAGGACATTTTAGGAGTTTTGTTTGGTGAATATACTTTATTAGTGCCTATTAATTTTATAAAATATTTGATATTTCTGTTCATGTACCTGTTTTGATCATGCTCATCCCTTCATTCCCCCCTTTCCCCCTCTCCCCCCTTATGCCCTTCCTCTTGTCTAATAAGCTTCCCTTCCATTTTCATGTCACAAACTGTGGAATTTTTATTTGCACAATAGATTAATCTAAATTTAGTCCTCATTGCAGAAAAATGTTTTTGTCATTCTTAAACGTTTTCTATGTTTTTTAAAAATCCGAGTTAAAGTTTTCCTATAGCAGGAATAGATTTAAAATGAAGCTGATAAATAAAGTTAAGGTTCAGAGGTATGAGCTTGTATAGCTTCTTTCAAGGTCCTGAGCAAGACCTAGGAATGTGTTCATGTATCGTATGTTTTTGTAAAATTTGAAAAAAAATAAGATATTATTTTAACTGTAATCATTTAAAACCATTATATTTCCTTCTAATGATTCTTTGCAGCCGATGGAATTGGAGTGGCTCTAGTCATTTCTGAGACCTAGTTAAGGAAAAGCTGAATTGCAGATACATTTGGTTGGGTTTTCATGAGATATATTTACTTGGTTCCCAATTACTTCATGTAGGAAGCACTTGTGCTAAGTTATACTGATTGTTCCATTGTGGGGAGGGCTTTTATAATACCCCTATTGTCCACTGTGCCTGCAAACCTGGCTTTGTGACCCAAAGTGTGGATGTAATGAAGGAGGAAAAAGCCTTGAAATTACAAACTAGAAGCTAGTCTGTATACAACTTGTAATACCAAAGTGCAGGATTTAGTTCTCATTGATGCTTTGTCGAAGCTGTGTTCTAGCCAGGCATGGTGCCATACGCCTGTAATCCTGGCACTTGGGAGGCTGAGGCAGGAGGATCAGTGCAAGTTTCAGGCCAGCCTGGGATATATAGTGAGTTTAAAGCCAGCCTAAACTACACAGAGAGACCCTGTTTGAAAAAAACAATTTTTTTAAAAGCAGTTCTATCCCATCAGAAAATAAAAAGTAAAAAACCCAAAGCCCTCATAATAGTTTACTGTAATAATGGCATCTTTGACAGATTTAGAGTCGTCTTCAATTTATAGTATTGAAAATTAGTCACTACCTTAATTGAAACGTTAAAGCTCATATTTTTAAACAAACAGGTTTTCCTGAATTTGACATCAATCCTGATGATTTACATGATATTCAATATACTGAGTTTTTATTTGATATTACAAAAGTTATTATAAAATGCAGCAAGGGCAGGGGATTTAGCTCAGTGGCTCTCGCGCCTGCCTTGCAAGTACAAGGTCCCGAGTTCGATCCCCAGTACCAGAAAAACATAAAATGCATCAAGACTGTGGGGAAAAGTGATGACCTGGTCAATTACTATAGATTTACCTATATAATGCATCTATTAGTATTTCCATAATGCAATGAAATTCTTTCTGTATGAAACCACATCCCTGGAGTTGGTGATGTTTGTGACATTGGCAGCTTTTTAAATTTTGAAATTGGTTTTGATTTCATTTCTCATTTTAAATAGTCACTGTGGTATTTCCCCTACGCCTGCCTATTACAATCCTTACTGTCCAGGATGGACAGAAATAGGGAACCACAGGGAGGAACCTTGTTTAGCGTGCTGTGGGGATGCACTGCACACTCTTCTCCCTGTCAGAAAGGGAAAGAAGAAATGGATCAGAAGAACGGGGAAAACTGCAGAGGAGAGAAAGAAACACAGAAGTTAAGCTGAACAGGTGACAGTGGGCAAGGAGCTACTAACTAGAAAGAGACACATAAAGCAAAATATTAGGCAAATGTAGAGTAAATCAGATCAAATATTTTAGAGGCTTTTCTAACTCTCTGCCATGCCTTTCCTTGATAGTAAATTAGCCATTTGTTTAAGCCTTGCTTAAATCATAAGGAAGTGAGCTAATTTTCTTTTTTTTTTTTGGTACTGGGGATTGAACTCAGGTCCTTGCGCTTGCACAGCAGGTGGCCAAACCACTGAGCTAAATCCCCACCCCAGTGAGGTAATTTTCAATGTCATGTGTTCCTGGAATAGAGCCATGGAGGTGGGAAGATGGTACAGCGCTACAGAGTGGGGAAGAACAGAGCATTTGTCAGCTGCAAATTTCTGGATCCTTCTGCTATTCACTCATATTTAAAACACTGGTGACCCTCTGAGGCCTGGCCACTTCCTCAGCCTTGTAGTTCTGAAGCCCAGTCCCATAAAATAGAAACCATTTTTTTAAAACCTTGAAATAAATGTAATGGAGGAAAAATAAAAGTTTAGATGGTAGCATTACAGGTGGTTTTCTCCCCACACTTACTATTTTTCTTATAGCTTTTCTAACGTCCTTTGAGTTAGAAATAATTTTTAAAACAAGCAATCAATAAAATCAAAAATTAAGGTAAAGTTGATCTTCTTTTAAGGTATCCCTAACAGCCACACATGGAAATAAGAATTTCCTTGTATTACAAAACTAGCTTCCTAAATTTTTTTAAATTTTATTTTATTGGTACATTTTAGGTATACAATATAATGACATTCATCATTGGAAATTTGCACCTTTACATAATCTCTCTTGGTTTTTATTTTTCCCCTTCCCCTGCCCTCCCTTCAACCCCTCCATCCCTCCCTATTTACAAAGACTTTGTTTCCATTTTTTCATTTTCTCAAGCTTCCTAAATTTTTATGTTGATGGCACAAGCTTTAAGATAATCTGTGTTAAAGGAAAGTAAACACCCTTGAATGGGTAGCGACTACAGGGTGTGGTTCTGAACATCCATAACAGAGAAGCACCTGTACATAGGATAAATTTCCTGACCTCCCCCAAGTCTAGCAGTAGAAAGCAGCTCCTGAGCCCCTCCAAAGCCTCCCCCAGCACCTCCAGCTAATCCTGGGCCTTGGTCAGATGGCTTCCTTCACGTCCACCTCACCAGCTGTGTCTTTCAAAAACACTTAGAGACTGCAGCCAAGACGGTTTTTTAACTTTCAGTTTTTATTGAGAGGTAAATTAGGAGTTGGGAACAGTCCCAACTTAACTTTCCTAATACCGTCACTAAGTGGCCACGGGTAATTGCCTGAAAGCTGCAGCTGCCATCTGACAGTCTGAACAGAACAAGCTGTGGTGGTCAGCAAAGCTTGAAAGGGTCAGTGATGCAGGGCCGCTCCACAGCCAATTATCGACATGCTTTACTGAAACTTAGATGGAAAAACCAAAACTCCAGAATGTGTGAAATGTGGATCAGCACTACCTGAAGAGTTTCTGCATTGAATGTTCTGGGCTAAAGGGACACACACTGTAATTGTTGAAAACTAATGATGATGATGTCTAACAGAAAATGACTTGCTTATGTACACATAATTGGATCTGTTGCTGGGAACACTCACCTACTGCTGATGGCTTTTAGAGTATCTCAGTGCTGTAGGCAGGAGCATTTCAGCCCTTCATATTCCTGCAGGGCATATACAGGCAATGTGGCACATTGAAATGAATCCAAACCCAGTTCCAGGCCTGCCTTTGTTGCCTCTCCAGGCAAAGGTGGGTGAGTCACTCTGTGTCTGAGGGCCTCATACACCCATCTGTAAGAGGAGAAAGACATACTTCACCAGGTAGCTAAGGAAGTCAAAGGGATAGATGTTAAGAACTTAGGAATTCTATACAAATATAGAGAGAGCATGTCTTGCAAATGAAGGATTCTTTAGCTCTAGCACTTTGAGTCATGGTCTTGTTCTCCAGGCCCCATGGGGACTGCCATGTCTGCTCTGCCTAGGGGCATTTCAGTTGGTGAGGAGCACAGCTGTAGAATTCCTTGGGTTTTGTGATTAATGATATTCTTTCAGTTTAGCTAAGAGCCAGTAGTATTTGAAAAATCTGTTAAGAATTAAATCCTCTTGTCTTGCCACAAGTTAGCCTGAACCTAACCAAAAGCATGTGGTGGTGACCATGCATGAGTAGTGGAATGAATGCATACAAGCTGGTGTGCAGAACATCTTAGCTAGTGCAAAGTGTTCATTAGCTCTCTCTTTGCTCCATAATGACAATGAAGTGTATGGCGGAGAGCATCACTAACCTGGTGAAATAAAGATGCTCCTCAATGGATGATGGGGTTATTCCTGTAAACTCATTATAAATTTAAAATATCCTAATCTGAAAATGCATTTAATGCACTTAACCTGAACAACATCATAACTTAGCAACCCACCACACTACAGTGGACTGGGTATTTCTCTCAAGATCCTGGACATTTCTGCTCTTTAAATTCCTGAAAGGCATATAAAGGCTGTCCAGCATCATAAGAGGAGTTGGTATAAAGATCAAGATGCAATATGTATATGTACCAGTTCACAGTGATGACTGTATTTACTTGTATCACAAACATACACTTACACATTTTTTTCTTAAGAGGAAGTCGAACAGCATATTGATAGCTCAAGGGAAAATAAAAATTCAAAGTATGATTTTCACCAAACACATACCATTTTTATACCATCATAACCAGAACCATGATAACGGGAGATTTTTGGGTCATCATTTCCTACTCTGTGGACAAACTTTTACCATTTACTGATTTGCTCATATTAGGATATTATTAAGCCCAATTGTAGTTTTCTGTTACGCTTTATCTTAGTTTGTTTCATTGACCTTAAACTGTCCAAGAAAAGCAACATACTATTTTTCTTACAGTTCTATTTTCAATCCTGGAATAAAAAAAATTCTGTCATAGAACAAAATATGAAAGTAGTTTCCAGCAATAGGAAAGCAGACCTGAAAGCATACAGACAGATAAAACTGAGGAATTAGAAAATAAGGATCTCTGGTTTGTTTGTTTGTTTGTTTGTTTTGGTCTTTCTAAGTTATAAAAGTAATACAGAGCCTGGGATTTAGCTCAGTGGTGCCACCACCTGCCTCACAAGTGCAAGGTCCTGAGTTCGATCCCCAGTACCAAAAAAAAAAAAATGTAATACATACTTATTGTAGAAAATTGGCACTCAAAGGTACAGAAAAGTAAGAGACAGAAAATCACTGTTACCATATGTAACTTTCCTTGAAGGGAACTTTCCTTCAAGAATTTTTTTCCAGTGCATTTTTCAGAACTGAAATCACTTGTGTGTTCACTTAGTAAACAATTTTTGTGTGGCACTTATGTAACAGGT